GGAAAATCTGGGATTGAGGAATGAGGACCTTGGAGGAAAGGAATTACTTTTTTGCTTAGCAATCCTATCATCACTGGTCTAGCTGAAGTGAAATATAATACTTTGGCCGGTGCAAACTACACCCAGGTCAGATACTTGGATTGAATGTCTCATTAAGGGAGAAGGATATAGGAAGAAAATAGGGGCTGCATCATACATGATGTTCTCACAGGTGGAAAATTAGAAGTCATTTATGCTTTGCAGTGATGAAGAGTCTGCCCTGAGAAGAGTTTTTCATAGTTCATTGACTGAACAAAGTTTATCAGTCTCCTTTCTAAGAGTAAATACTAACTTGATAGATTGTAGGAACTGCAAGGTGGCTTTTGAGATCTACAAATAGAATATTAGTATCACCTGAAGAAGCAGGAGTACTCTAAAAGGAGGGTGTAAGAATTAACTGACAAGTATTATATTACTAAAAAAGAAGTCGAAAGAGAAGGGAAAATGAAGGAAGATGGGCTATGATTTAGAGGCCTAAGTGGGATAAACAGGAAGCACAGGAGGAGGACGTATGCACCTGTAGAGGTAGGGGAGCAAGACCAAAGGAAGAAGACAGATGGGACATGGGCCTCTTGCAGAGGTAGAAGCCCTCTGTTTAACACCCAATTTTTTTTTTTTTTTTTTTTTTTCGGTACGTGGCCCTCTCACTGTTGTGGCCTCTCACGTTGCGGAACGCAGGCTCAGCGGCCATGGCTCACAGGCCTAGCCTCTCTGCGGCATGTGGGATCTTCACAGACCGGGGCATGAACTCGTGTCCCCTGCATCGGCAGGCGGACTCTCAACCACTGTGCCACCAGGGAAACCCAAACATCCACTTTTTAAGGGCAGTGTTGTCCAAAGTTTTTCTCATCATGAAACACAGAAAGTGATGTTTGTGTACCACACTGGGGTCTGGCCAGTTGTCCTGAGGGCTGAGAGAGATGACTGTCTTGGCACCTTTGTAATCCCTTTGCACAGCACACCTATGGCACACTGTCTGGACCCTCATTTTAGGGCGCAGGCTTGAGAAGGCCTCCAGAGAGCTCGTGAAAGGCAGTATCTGAATACTATGGACTGGTATTCCTTTCTGCCTCCATACATGAGAAAACTCAGGGAAAGCAAAGGAAGCTGCAATCAAGGCAGCAGATATTTGAATACAAGTGTTAAGCAGCTGGAAATCTTAGAAAACTGCAAACATGGTATAACCTCTGAAACAGAGGAAAAGTAAATTTTAAAACGATAGGCTCTCAGCTATGTTACTTTACCTACTTTTTTTAAAAAAATTAATTTATTGAATTTATTTTTGGCTGCATTGGGTCTTCGTTGCTGCGCGCAGGCTTTCTCTAGTTGTGGCGAGCAGGGGCTACTCTTCGTTGCAGTGTGCGGACTTGTCATTGTGGTGGCTTCTCTTGTTGCAGAGCACAGGCTCTAGGCGTGTGGGCTTCAGTAGTTGTGGCTTGCGGGCTCTAGAGTACAGGCTCAATAGTTGTGGTTCACGGGCTTAGTTGCTCCGCAGCATGTGGGATCTTCCTGGACCAGGGCTCGAACCCGTGTCCCCTGCATTGGCAGGTGGATTCTTAACCAATGCACCACCAGGGAAGCCCCTACTTACTTTTCTTTACCCAGAAATATATATCACTGTAGATTACTATATCACTATATGGTAATATAGATTAATATATCACTGTAGATTACATGGAATATATTGCTGGCTTTTTCTATTAGCATTTCCCTGGCTTGGTAGATAGATTAAAGAGCCAAGGAAAGTAACGTAGGAATAAAACCTACAGGCCTCAGATTGAATTTCTTCTGAGATGTCAGAGACATTTGGAAAGTTAGCCCAAGGAAAATAGTTCTATAATGAATTAGTAAAGTGAAGTCCCCTTGTCTAATTCCATCCTTCTTTTTAGATAGAATTTTTTTTTTTTTTTTTGTGGTACACTGGCCTCTCACCGTTGTGGCCTCTCCTGTTGCGGAGCACAGGCTCCGCTCCGGATGCGCAGGCTCACTGGCCATGGCTCACGGGCCCAGCCGCTCCGCGGCACGTGGGATCTTCCTGTACCGGGGCACGAACCTGTGTCCCCTGCATCGGCAGGCAGACTCTCTATCACTGCGCCACCAGGGAAGCCCTAGATAGAAATTTTTAAATTGGTCTTGGGAAATGGAGGCAGGTGGATTTGAGATTAACCTCTGACTGAACATGGTTTGGATTAGGGAAGAAAATAAAACACAGGATTTCTCTAGTTTTGCTCTTTCTCTCCACCCCTAAGGAGCACGATCTTCAACACTGGGTCCCTCCTGAGGCTTCTGGAGGCCATTGGAGAAAGGGTGAGAGGAATTTGGCTGTGGGGATCCCATGTCCAAATGAGAGTTTGTGGATGCTTAAAATTATGTTTTTACTTCAAGAAAACCACAAAATCTGTAAATGCTAAATAAAGAACTACAGGAAAAGAAAGTGAGGATTCTTTACTGAAACTCATTTCCCTTTAGGTCTGCATACATTTAAAATTGGTCTTCTCTACGATATTCATATATTAGGTTTCTCTTGAGAACAAGTATAGCCATAGTGGCAGGTATTTTAGAGTATATATAGGGAATGATGTGAGTGCATAGCCTTTGGAACCAGAGAGATTGCAGTTTGAATCTCACTACTACTACTATTTGAGTTACTTTGAGCAAGTTAAATAACTACTCAAACTCCTCACCTGTTAAATGTGAAATAGTTTGTATAAAACATCTATTTTAGTACTTGTTATATAGAGGCTACTCAGTCATCCTTATTTTAGTCATCTTTCCTAAAATGGTCATTTGTTCAAGGCCAGCATGTGTTTTAGAAGAAGGTCTGAGGGATATATTAGTACAGCTGTCTCGAATAGAGATGTAATGCAAGCCACATATATAATTTCGCATTTTCATGTAGCCAAGTTGAAAAGTAAAAAGAAACCAATGAAATACATTTTAATATATTTTATTTAATATCCAGGTTAACAGTACATTAGTCTTTGTAACCCTTCCATGGCTCAACTAATAAGCATTGGCAAAAAACACAAGATTGTTAAAGTCATTTTGTTTCAGTGGTTCTGCAAACTGGTATAGCATTTACACAGGTGCTGTATAATTTTAACAACTATATTCATGACACTGTCATAGTCTGCTTCAGAAAACTGAGCACATTTCTAGTATGTATTATACAGTATAACAAAGCAATGAGAAACATCAGTCTTTTGAACATTCCAGTAAATCTGGATTTTTGACGTTACAAAGCTAGAGCACCTTCCATTGTGGAAAAAAATGATTTTTTCATATCTAGCTGAAATTCTTCTTTGATAGATGTGTAAAATTCAAAGACACACCATAAGTGTGATATTTTTATTTTAAGACCTCAAATTGTCAACATTTCTTGGTAAATCTGGAAGTCCTCTGAGACAGAACATTCCCAAAGTGTTAATTGAGGCATGATTCATCTAAAGATAAAGAAACGTATTTGCAATTTTTAAAATTAAATCAATTCATCTTTGATGTTACAAGAAAGGTCTTGTATTCTCCAGGCAGTTGTTCATGGGCTTAATTGAAGATCTTTCACTTTTTTATAAAAATAACTTTTGTTTTCTCATAATTTTCCAACAAAATTTCCATAACAGATAATTTATTTCATGTAAGGACAGTTTCTGTTTTTGTGCAACACTTAAAAATGTTTTATAGGTGGCCAAAATTATAAGCTCAGATTTTGCTAAAAAATTATTTTAAAAGTTTTTGTTGTATGGTTAATTTTGATTTCGGTGACTTTCATTCTTTTTTGACTGTTGAAAGGAAACTCCTTAATATGTTCATTATGTATTTGCTGAAAATGCATCCTATCGTTATCTACTTTATTATCCTAAAAGATTTTTTATATAACAACTTTTTAAAATAACAGCTTTATTGAGATATAATTCACATGCCATAAAATTCACCATTTTAAAGCGTACAATTCAGTGATTTTAGGATATTCACAAAGTGTGTCATCATCTCCACAGTCAATTTTAGAACATGTTCATCACCCCATTGAGAAACTCCATTGGCAATCACTCCCCGCCCTGAGCCCCTACTCTGCTGCAACACAACATCACAAAATATACAATTCCATTTACATGAAATGTCCAGAATATGCAAGTCCATAAAGACAGAAAGTAGATGAGTGGTTGCCTGGTAATTAGATTGTAGTGGAGTAGGGACTCAGGGCAGAGAGTAGATATGGGGAGTGATTGGTAATGGGTATGGTATTTCTCAGTGGGGTGATGAACATGTTCTAAAATTGATTGTGGAGATGGTGACACAACTTTGTGAATATCCTAAAGGGATATCTCATTGTGGTTTTGATTTGTGTTTCCCTAAGGACTAATGATGGGTATCTTTTTATAGGCTTATTGTCCATTTGCATATCTGTTTTGGAGAAATGCCTACTCATATCCTTTGCCCATTTTTAAATTGACTTTTTTGTCTTTTATTGTTGAATTGTAAGAGTTCTTTATTAATTCTGGATACAAGTTGCAAATATTTTATTTCATTCTGTGGGTTTTCTTTTTTCTCTTGATGGTGTCCTTTGAAGCTCAAGAATGTTTTAATTTTAATGAAGTCCAGTTTATCTGTTTTTTTTTCTTTTGTATCGTGAACGAACAGCTTTTCCATTTTGTTCTGCAGCAAATTATAGTAGCATTCATTAGGAAATTTGTGGCATACGTTCTTTCAGTCTCTTTTCTTTACTGTTCCAATTATTTTACTGTCTCAGATGTTATCATCTCCACTTGATTCTTAAAAATCTGTCCATAATTATTTTTTAAACTAAAAAAGTTTAGTTCTTATAATTAAAATAATAACTATATCAATTATGATTTATATAGGCATCACCATAAATATAGTATCATAACAAACACCTTACAATGTTATATTGGTATATAGGAAAAAAACATTCTAAGTTAATCAATCCTTTGCTACTGACTAGATTGGTGGTGTGTTTGTATATAGTACTACAAACCACCCACGCACCCAGTGCACAACTAGGCCACAACATTAATACCTTAACATGATGCATGGTAGTGGTATGTAGTCCTAAACAATAAAGTCATGTTTAACAGAAGAATATTTCACACTGCTTCAGTTTTTAAATTTTAATTAAAATGAAATATAATTAAAAGTCTAGCTCTTCAGTTGCATTAGCTATATTTCAAGTGCTCATTGCCCGTGTGTACCTAGTGTTTACCGTATCGGACAGCCCTGTGTTAGTGTATCAGGATTTTTAAAAACATTAATACTGATTTTCTAGTACTTTATAGCTCACAGAATGCTTTGATATCTTTTTAACTTTTAACACCAATTCTGTGAGGTAGATGTGACAGAAATTATCTCTATTTTATAGATGAGAAAACAAATTTTGAGAGACTGACCTACCCAAATAACACAATGGTGTTGTCAACACTTGAATCAGGGCCACTAAGTCTGTGGCCTTGTCCACTTATACTCTGCATTTTTTAAAAAAATAAATTTATTTATTTATTTTTGGCTGCATTGGGTCTTCATTGCTGGGTCTTAGTTGCTGCACGCGGGCTTTCTCTAGTTGCGGCAAGCAGGGGCTAGTCTTCATTATGGTGCGTTGGCTTCTCATTGCGGTGGCTTCTCTTGTAGAGCTTGGGCTGTAGGCACACAGGCTTCAGTAGTTGTGGCATGCAGGCTCAGTAGCTGTGGCTCGCGGGCTCAGTAGTTTTGACTTGTGGGCTCTAGAGCGCAGGCTCAATAGTTGTGGCACACAGGCTTAGTTGCTCCGCAGCATGTGGGATCTTCCCAGGTCAGAGCTCAAACCCATGTCCCCTGCATTGGCAGGCAGATTCTCAACCACTGCGCCACCAGGGAAGTCCCTGCATTTTTTGATATAGATTTTTCTGTGACCTAAAAGTACTAGAAGGAAAAAACAATATGCTTTGTTTATTCATTCAAGAAGTGTTTTTTCACCACCTCTTATGCCCCATATTATTCTGGGCAGTGAGATACAATGGTGAACAAGACGAAGTTCTGGTCTTCATGGATCTTACCTTCCAATTAAGGCATTAGTGAACAAATATATACTATAGTATTAGGTAGTAAGTAGTATGTTCTAATACCATGTTCTGTGCGAATAAGTAGGAAATTTAGCTTAAATTTTAGTTCATGTTTAGGTTATCAAACCCTTATTGATTTAATTTTTGTTAGCTAGATTTATTTTCTTTGAAGATAAATTTTTCATAAATACACTGCATGTATCTTTTCATAGGCAATGTAAAGAAGATGAAAGTCAGTCAGAAGAAGACTACAGAAGTCTGAGTGCTTCCCCCACTTATAAAGGCCTTCTAATGGTATGGGGACTATATGACTGATAAATACTTTTTTTATAAAGCAAAATGATAATCTAAATAATCTCCCAGGAAAGTTAACTATATTTTTATGAAATGTGTTGCAGTCTTTACAGAATCAACTCAAGGAATCGAAGTCTAAGATAGATGCACTTTTAAGTGAAAAGCTGAATCTCCAAAAAGATTTGGAAACCAGGTGAGAGAAACTTGCCATTTTTATTTAACTTCCATTTAAGCATAACTGGAATTTTGAATATTAAATAAATCATTCTGTCCCCTTTACTCTAAAATTAATGTTGGAGACCTCATACTCATACTTATTTTAGTCATTTGTCTCTCATATCATGGAAAGAGCAAAAATACATACATAGGCAAGGGAAGTGAGAAAATAGGGAGAAGATAAAACTGGGTAGGAACTCAGAATACATTCAGTCTTAAGCCAGCAGGTTTCCCTTTCCCAAATAACTTTATTTTTTTTAAAATTATTTTTCCAAATTACTTTAGAATGTCTTATTACCTCATCATATGCCTGTGTTGTGGGAAGGGGGGGAATTAAAAAGTTTAAATGGCATACAACAGAAAGGTTTATTTATGTACATCATACTACCACAAAAGGATGGCACTCTACCTGTTAACAGAGAGTAATAAGGAATGCACACTGCTGAGACTTTTTTATTCAACAAATATTTTTTGAATACCTATTGTAAGTTAGACATGGCCTTAAGTTCTGGGATAATATATAATAAGCAAAACAAATACCTTGTTCTTGTAAATTTTAAACTTTAATGGAGAGGAGACTGATACCTACAGTAAAAACCATTTCTGTAAAGTTTAAAAGTCTGCCACATAATAATGTGTAAATTTATGGTTATACAAATATGAGGTAAAAATGTATAAAACATGCATGGGAAGAATGAAGAGTGAATTTCAGATAGTGGTTACCTGTGGTATGGGAAGGAGAGCAATGACAGTAATCAGGGTCACACGTGGAGTTTTAAGTACATGTATAATGTTTTAGTTAAAATATTTGAAACAAATTACTATTCAACTTTGATAAAGCTTGAGGGGTGGACACAGTACTATTTGTCTTACTATTCTCTATTCTTGTCCATACATTTGAGATACTTCACTATAAAAACAAGTAATAGATTAATAACAATAAAAATGGGTAGAAAGTTTTGAACAGGGAATACACAGAAGAAGACACCCAATGGCCAATAAATACCTCATTAGCAGTCATGAAGTATTTTTTAAAATTAGCTAATTAATTTATTTTGGTTGTGTTGGATCTTAGTTGCTGCATGTGGACTTAAGTAGTTGTGGCACGCGGGCTCAATAGTTGTGGCTTGCGGGCTCTAGAGCGCAGGCTCAGTAGTTGTGGTGCGCGGGCTTAGTTGCTCCATGGCATGTGGGATCTTCCTGGACCGGGGCTGGAACCCGTGTCCCCTGCAGTGGCAGGCAGATTCTTAACCACTGCGCCACCAGGGAAGCCCAGCAATCATGAAATATTTTAAGAGCTTTTAAGCATATTTGTGACAAGTAACAGGGTATACACTATTGTTTATTATTAAATATCTTTACGGTATAGTTTTATTAAATAAAAATAAGTGCGTTCAACATGATTTATCTTCTACAGGCCCACACAGCGTGAATTAAGACTTTATAAACAACAAGTGAAGAAGCTGGAGAAAGCCCTTAAGAAAAGCATCAAGTAATTATATTTTACCAAAGTTAAAAATTTATTAAGATTTTGTATGTTATTATTTATTTTTATTACCTGTCACCTTACCCCATAGTGATCATGGCTCAAAATTACCAGGCTGATGGGGGGAAATGACATTAAAAAGGGATATTTCTGGTTCCACAGTTTTAAAGGTTTCTACTGTATTGGATTTGGCTGTACATGCATCTTAAATAAGAACAAGGAAAAGGTAATTGTCTGATATAGTAAAAGGCAACGATTTTAATTAGAAAGTTGTCTTTGGAAGTCATGGAGGAATTGCAAGAGAGTCATTGAAATTAGAGGTGACAAGCCCCAAATTTTTGTTGGTGGTAGTTATGACATGAATAATATATAGCTTCATCGTATTTTAAAACTAAAGGTTGGGGCTTCCCTGGTGGTGCAGTGGTTGAGAGTCCGCCTGCCGATGCAGGGAACACGGGTTTGTGCCCTGGTCTGGGAAGATCCCACATGCTGCGGAGCGGCTAGACCCGTGAGCAATGGCCGCTGAGCCTGCGTGTCCCTCCGCAACGGGAGAGGCCGCAACGGGAGAGGCCACAACAGTGAGAGGCCCACGACCACAAAAAAAACAAACAAACACCAAAAAAACTAAAGGTACCAGAATGAATGCAGTGTGCCATTCATATCCACCACCTCTCTTTTATGGCTTTGAAAAGCATGTACTCAGAGGAGTTTCAAAAAGTTGGTCTTCAAATAGTGATAGTATTTTCTGAAGATTAGCTATGTGTACTCTTTGATTCAAGGGAATGGGACTTGAAGTAGTGCAGTGAGCATTGAGATGAAATATTTTAAAAATGACATGAGTTAAAATATGCATTAGATATATTAAATCAGTTGTATTAGCATATGTTGATTCAATTTTCAGTGACAGCTGTTTCCTCCTCCTTATGGCAGCACATGCCACAGTGAAAGGGAAGTATTCTGGCCATCCAGGAATTACATGTTGGGTTAAATTAAGGAAGGAAAACTAAAAAAGAAAAGAGAAGTGGAAGGTTTGGAAAGGTTGCATTCATTCATTCAATTAATGTTTTTTCCCTTCCTACTATTGCTTGATATTTTAGGTACCTGTAGTACCTCTTCCTATCTGCTTGGCATTCTGCATACTGAAATTACAGTGGTAAATCAAATAGAAAAGGTTCTTGCTCTCATGAAGGTTATGTGAAGGGGGAAGGGCAATGAAGAAATAAATAAGACAATTTTGATATTGTATAAGTACTAAAGGTGAAATAGTGTGAGAGTTGCTATTGTATGAGTTTGGACAAGAAGTGGTAGTGACATGGTCAAAGGTGGCAGTAGTAGATATAGAACTGATAGGACTTGGTGATGGATTGGGGATATAGGCAGCTGAGGGGGGGAGAAAAATCAAAAAATTAACTAATCAAGACCTAAGTTTTAGTCCTGAATAACTAGGTAGTTGTTGGGGCATTAACTGAGATAGGAAAAGTGGTCAAGGAGCAGCTGGGAAAAGGAGGATGTAAGGGAGATAAAAAGTCAGAGAAGGTGTAAGGGAGGAAAACTTCTCCTCAGCCCTCTTAGGGTCTCTGGCTAGGCCTGAAAATTAAACTGACAAAGATAGATTAACATGAGAAAAGTATGTAAATTTATTTAATGTAAGTTTTACCTGACCTGAGGAGAAATGAAGACTTGAAGAAACTGTTAAGCTTGAGCATTTACTAGGTTTGATGAAGAGTGGAAAGTTGTGGGAAAATGTGGTAGTACAAAAAGGTATGAGCTAAGGGTAATAAACTGGGGGAAATTCAGATTCCTCGTCTTCAGAAATAAAGATGCTCCTTTCCTCTGGGTACAAGGAGGGCACCTGTTGCATGAGGGTCTTATGGTCTGCTTCAGGGGAGAAGGGGGAGGTCAGAGAGTCCTTCCTGCTCCTGCCATTTCTCAAATTCGTTTAGCTTAAAACATTTCTTATGTCAAAGTGGCATATTTTGGGGTTTTTGTTTGTTTTTGTTTTTGGCCACACCATGCGGATTGTGGGCTCTCAGTTCCCCAACCAGGGATTGAACCTGGGCCATGGCAGTGAAGCTCGGAATCCTAAGCACTAGGCCATCCCTCCAAGTGGCATATTTTGGAGTGGCATATCCTGATCCCCTTCAAAGGAATCTTAGGACTTCAATGTAAATGTATCAGTGAAGATACACACACATAAAGGCATGCACATATATTCATAGAGATATCTAGTCATTTCCTCATTATTCACAGATTGCATATTTGTGAATTTGCCTATCTGCTAAAATTTGTTTTTAATCCCCAAATCAGTAGTGGTGGCACTTTCACAGTCATTCATGGATGTGCCCAGTATACACATTTTCAGCTGCTGAACAAGGTGATGCTCTGCCCTTTTGTTTTAGCTTTCATAATGTAAATAGTCATTCTTTTTGCTGTCATATGCCACTTCTATTTTTTCATTTTTTGCTTTTTGTTGGTGATTTCTCCAGGATGGTCCCAAGCATGGTACTGAAGTGCTGTGTAGTGTTCTACGCACAAGAAGGCTGTGATGTACCTTGCAGAGAATATACACGTGTTAGAGAAACTTCATTTAGGCATGAGTTATAGTGCTGTTAGCCATGAGTCCAATGTTAATGAAACAACAATATTTAAAAAGATGTCTTTATAAGCATTAACACACAAAAAACAAGGTTATATATATTGATCAGTTGAGGAAAATGTGACCAGAGGCATGCAGGAACCTGATCCTGTATTTCCCCTAGTAGTAGTGGTTCAGTCTTCACTAATTCAGTGTACATGGTGACTTTATAGAGTATAACTACCATGAATAATGAGATTTGATTTTGTATATGTTTTTTGTTATTCATTTGAGAACTGGTTTTTAGGGTGACTTCACTATTAGACTTTAAAATTGTGATTCAGAACCAATCCCTGCTATATATTTCTGTTGAATTTTGAAGAAATGATTTGCATTTTGAATAAATGTGTTTTTTTTTTAGAAATTTACATTTGGAATTTTAAAAAATTATCATTAATTTGATTTTAAGTTTGGAACTTTTGTAGTATCTAGATGTGAAACAGAGAATTAGGAATGTTAGATAACTTGCCCGTATCGCACAGGAGGTGGTACGTGGAAGAACTTGGAAAGAAATCAGGTCCATACCCAAGCATTTGGACCCTCAAGCTCACACTCTTAACCATCACACTGTTAATTAAAACCAAACAGAACACCCAATGAAAAAAACTTTTTCAACGTAAAAAAATTTCAAATTTTTATTTTCTGCCGGGGCAGAGGTAGAATATTTTTTTCAAAGAACTACTGTGATGTTAGGGAAATAATGCGCTGGTCCCCAGCATGGCAGCCGCTTGGCCCTCCGGGCCGGTTGCTTCCAAGACTGCTGCTGCTTGGCTCCTGGCTGTCCTGTGGGCTGTGTCAGTAACCACAGGACCTTGGGGAGCTGCCACCGGCGGCAGCAAGGAGTCACTTAAGTGCGAGGACCTCAAAGTGGGACAATATATTTGTAAAGATCCAAAAATAAGTGATGCTACACAAGAACCAGTTAACTGTACAAACTACACAGCTTATGTTCCATGTTTTCCAGCACCCAACATAACTTGTAAGGATTTTGGTGGCAATGAAACACATTTTACTGGAAACGAAATTGGTTTTCTCAAGCCCATATCTTGCCAAAATGTGTTTGTTAAAGTTTTACACTGTAGGATTTTGTGGAATTGGGAACCTAATTGATTTCATTCTTATTTCAATGCAGATTGTTGGACCTTCAGATGGAAGTAGTTACATTATAGATTATTATGGAACCAGACTTACGAGACTGAGTATTACCAATGAGACATTTAGAAAAACGCAGTTATATCCATGAATATTGTTTAAAAGAAACAGATTTGGGCCTCCTTGATTTTAATAGAGAGCTCTCAGTGTGTAGATTTCCAGATTTTCTTTTTTCCGTCTTCACATACCACATTATGGATTCTGTTTAATTTTTTGTTGCTGCTGATGTTTTTGTTTTGTTGTGTCAGTTAAAAACATATTATTCTGTGATTTATTTAATAGAACTTTGAGATTTATATGATAATACAGTCTTTCTTAGGCCACTGGGTATAGATAGCTTGTTACTCTGATATTAATGTATTTTCCAAAGGCAAGTTGCCACTTGTCCTTTTCGCTTCTGAAAAATAAAAGTATGACTTATTCAAAAAATTAAAAAAAAAATCTCCTGTCAACCCAGTGAATCTTCTCCACATATGTAGGAAAAAAAAAAACAGTTTTATATAACAGTTGGAATAAATATCCAGCGAGACTGCAGGGTGCATTAGAGGCAATCTGCTAAAGAGATTTCAAAGACGGAAAGAAATCTCACCCTTTAATATAGCCAGGCAGATATGCAGTCCATTACATACATGGAATTGTCTTTAGCCAAAGGAAAAATGAAACGTATCTTCATGACAAGGAGGAAGTTACAATTTAGAGCCAGGAGCATAGGCTAAGCTCCAACAGGGAAAAGGAGACAAGGCACCCTGTTCCCTGATGTCCACCTTTGAAGAGATGGTTCTAAGGTTCCCAAGAAAGACATTGCTAGGATATCAAATTGGCAGGAGGCTTACGTAAATTTTAACAAGATCTACATACTTCTTAGGATTTATAACTACAGGTTTTCCAAAGGAAATGCTACAAGAAAAGGAGAGGAAAATCTCTCCCCCCACCCTTCTTTTTAGAAATTTATTTATTTATTTATTTATGGCTGCATTGGGTCCTCGTTGCTGTGCACAGGTTTTTTCTAGTTGCGGCGAGCGGGAGCTAACTCTTCGTTGCGGTGCGCGGGCTTCTCACTGCACTGGCTTCTCTTGTTGCGGAGCATAGGCTCTAGGCTAGGCACGTGGGCTTCAGGAGTTGCGGCACGCGGGCTCTAGAGCGCAGGCTCAGTAGTTGTGGCATACAGGCTTAGTTGCTCCGCAGCATGTGGGATCTTTCCAGACCAGAGCTTGAACCTGTGTCCCCTGTATTGGTGGGCGGATTCTTAACCATGGCGCCACCAGGGACGTCCCTCTTTCCC